AAATACCTTTCATATCTGCTCGTACACCCCATTGCCCGAGATGGAGTCTGTACGACAAGTGTACAAGTGCTTTTATTTCAGCGTGCAATAAACTCAATCCGAAAAGCAATGATTTTTCACGAGAAGTAAAATCTTTGTTGACATTTCTGAATTGATGCGATGTTTTCAGGCACATAGGGCATCTTGTTGTGGCCGGATTATCAACCAAAGTATTCACACACTTTCCATCGAATAGTGTCTGAAGTACGTTATACTTCACAAGTGCTGTTGTATTATTTACTTTAAATCGGTATATTTTTAATTCACTGATCTCGAGATCCATCCTTCGAATTTCTTTTATAATCGCTTCATCGTCTTCCTTTACAAAAGACATATGCAATGGTCTTGTGAAGCATGCGCAGCTTGTCACCCAGCAGTGATCGTGTCCGTGCAAATTACAAGACATGTGATGAACAAAAAGGTATGCTTGGGAAGTGAACTCTTCGATCTGGTCATCTCCCTGTTGATGTGGACTTACGTGACCTGAATATCTGTCAAATCTCATTGTCACGATCATTTACAGATGGAATAAATAATCTTCTTTCCAATCTTGAGTTTCTGAACTGCATAATCTTTCAATGCTTTTGAGACGACCACGTATGTGGCCACACGAACACTCGTCTATTACGCGATCAGCTGAGCGAGCCGCGGAGCAGACAAACGCGCCACTTTTGGTCCCACTCATATACTCGCGTTGCTAAGCAACGCACGGCCCCCACCGCTGGCACCCGCCTATATAAACCAGCACCTTGTAGTGGTGAGGTAGATTCGGCTCTGGCCAAAGCGAGCGACGCATCGTGAGCACATGAGGCGAGAAGCTCGATTCTTGATAAGTGAGCACACGCATCAAGCAGTGTACGTGAGCATACGTAATACGATCATACCTTTCAGTGCACGAACACACGCACTCTCTCCAACTCTCGTGGGCACACGTTAGCATCCCCGATTCGATCCCCGTTCCGTTCCTCCGTTCCACACCGACCGACCTGGAGCTGTTTATGTGTGACATTTGTACCGTGGATAGAAACTTATACGAACCGGCACTCACTTTGTTACAGGTACCGACCGTCCAGTCCTATCCAACCAAAGGTTAACCCGACGCACCTGTGTCCGCTTTGCCCGTCACCTTCTTGCTTGGCTACCGCTAACTGTTTATGTTAGATTGCTAATACTAATTGCAAATAATAATCTTTTTTTGCATACTTGTTAATTGCCTAATCAAAGTTATTGCTTTTCTTTATTTTCTATTCTTTTGGCCCTACGCAAATCATCTTGTTTGCTACATTTCTTTGCTATATTTGTAAATAATTAATTCTTAGTCTATCAATAAATCAATAAATACTTGTTACTGAATTTCCATGACACATCATTATGAGCCACCACCTGATCCCACCGTGACACTTGTATCTAAAATGTCTTGCAACGACACGAATACTTCTGTATCTGTGTGCTTTTTTTATGTGAATTATATTTACCAAACAATTTTTTTTAGCTTCGATAAAGTGGTGATATTTTGGTACAATTGAACATCATGGCTCGCACAATCTGCAACAATATTGCACAATGCAATCTATATTGATGGACACTTAGATCAAGATCTAATGAAAATGATAATGCAGAGTCCCCATCGTACTTTTCATTTTCATTAGTTTCAATAATCGTCGCAGAATCATTACATCCGTTCTTTTTTCGGGCTATTTTCAGTGCAAGTTCAATGAATGTAACATTGTTATTACATTGAGCTGCGAATTCGCTGTTATCGAAAATATCAAGTCTTTTTCTTCCACCACTAAGAGCACGTTGTTTTTTTGAAGGTCTTCCAGGTTTATCATGCCGTTTTTGACTCCGTTTATTTTTTGTGCGGCTCATGATAATGTAGTAGTAATATTGAAATATAAGTGATAATATTGCACACCGATTACTAGAAGATACTCAAAAAAACGCAATTTCACAAAATCACTGACTACGAGACACTACAAATAACGCACTATCGATCGACCTGTCGCTTCGCTGTCTTCAATTGTATTGTGCTCAATTTTAGTCTGCACAGTGTATTCACGAATGAAAATGCTAAGACGCAGTTTCAAAAATCACACATTATGCGACTGTCATCAAAATAACACACTCGGTATACATGTCTATCCTTTCGGTCTCTCATAGTATAGTGGTCTCAAACGTAAACAATAACAGTGTTACGTGCCGATCATAAAAGATACTTTTTCTAGCATTGATACAGATATAACGTAAACATTACAGCTTCGAGTGTGCACGAGCAAAACAATGAATAAAAGCTTAGGCTGAAAATACACATAAAACTCAATAATGGTGAAAAAACTTCTCTTTACTCATATTTTGATAAATTATTTTAGTAATCTTTCAGTAAAAATGTGCGAATACTGATCTTAATAATGTCAATATATAAGATCCATAGCGCGAATCATGTTATTTTGCACAAATCATGCGTATGATGTGTCCTTTCTATAAATATTGTATGAATACCAAAATATGATATGCCTAGTATGTGGAAATCCGAGAAACTTTTAACTTTTTGACTAAAAAAAATTTTTTTTTTCGTATGGCACGCATGTGCAACATCCATTATTGTCTACTTATCGACTTGTTGAATGATAAAAATGTAAGGCTTACGGTTTTTATCAACCGGTATTTTTTTTTATTTCAATAAGCGACTAATAAGGTGAATTCAAATTTTTTTGGTTAAAATTTTTATGGAAACCTCAAGAAATTTTACAGATTAAGCTTAATAAAAAAAACAAAAATCTCATGTCCGATGTACTTTTCGACGAGAAATTGAATGGTGACCTTGAATTTGACCTTGAACATAACCTTTAAGCTACAGTGAACTAGAAATCGATTTTTCAAATGAACACCCCCATTTTTTATTGCAAATTTGACAAGATCGGAAAATTTTATGTTAAAATATGTCGTTTTATTTTTCTTTAATATTTCGCTATCAAGTTAATATTTCCAGTAGACTTAATTTCAGTTATACGAGGTAATTTGCGTACTGCAAACTATATCTACAAAAGGGCCTACAGGGTGCTAAAATATTCGTAGAAAGCTCTATTTTTTTAAAATTGCTCGTCGAGAAAAGAAGTTTAATTTGGACTAAAAAATACTGTAGTCCACGTTAACGTTTAAAAGATCCAGTTTTTCTGTCATTTAAAGTGTTATGCTAAAATGCGACTAGCAACTGGATATTGATGCAGGCAGATGGATTGAGCAACTCGAATCCATTCATGATATAAATAAATTTAAAGAAGAAAAAATTTCCAAGAAATGAAAAAAAAATGCATCTTGATTCGATGAAAATTGACTGAGATAGAAGCATTTTAAAATTTACGAAATTTCAATAAAAATTGTTATTGCGATAATTATAATGCAGAGCCTACTTAGTCCATTTATGAGAGATTAGAGGCAAATTAAATTTGATCATTCTGCCAAAATGTCCAAAATAACCCAAATTAAAATTGGCTTGGGGTGCGAAGTCGATTTTTTCCACCTTCTTAGTGTGCTATCAACAAATGTGTTAGTTTTAATCCGTTGGCCCGGCATACATGTTGTATTAATTAGATGTAACTTTTTATCCTTAAGGAGCACGCGGACCAGCAACGTCTCAATTGATTTGGTTACTCAAGACCTTCAAGTCCCTAAATTTTTTTAATGTAGAGAACGATTAATCGATCATCTCAGAATATTCGATAGGGTATTAAAAACGTAATTTTGTAAAAATCGAGTTCCCATTACATAATTTAGGATTGGGAGTCTTGTGACGAGAGCACTGCTTGGACACAATTTTTTTTGAAAAATATAACCCCTCAACTACCCAGAAAAAAAATTTCAAAGTGCTTGGTGAATCGGTCATTTCTAAATATCACTAAGAAATTATAAATGGGCTCCGGTTCCTTTTTACAGTGTGATCGTATGAAATCGTATGAAAATCATGTTATAACTCAGTATACTCCATGTTACACTCTTAAAATCTAATAATATATACATGATGAGTTTCAATATAGTTTATAATAATAGAAGTATCCCGTTTAAATAATTACAGTACGAGTTCCACATCGGTTCCTTAAAAGTTAAAAGTTTCCTGGATTTCCACATATACCGTGTATTAAATAAATTACTTTTACAACTGTAATTAATATTCATTATTTATTCTAAAAGCACGAGACCAAAATTACATCGAAATAAAAATTTGAAAAGTTAATCATCAAAATTTATTGCTTTTGGGCAATTAAAAAACTATTTAGAAAAATATTATTTAAAAATTTAATTGAAAATAATAACGTTTAATTATAAACAAAAAATAGTACATGGGACCGATTCTCACTGAAGTAGAATAGAGAAGGAAATTTTATTTTGGCAATTTTTGGGACTATCAATTACTTTTTTATCGATTTTTCGTACGCTGGATGCACTTACTTTTTCGGTTTAACTTTATCTAGCATGTGTAATATGCAGGAAACTGAAAAACAAACAAAAATGTAGTTTTATCCCCGATTCAAGAGCTTACATGTTTTGTTATGCAGCTCGAGTAAAAAAGTAATAAACCCCATACAAAGTATTATAGCCTTAAAGAGCACAAAATTACCTTTAATTTGGTGTAGGTAAAAAGTCTCTAAGTCATCTAGAACCGAAGATACAGCTATTTGAAGTTTTACTGAACGTTCAAATATCATGTAAACTGGTGTATGAAAATGACAGATTTTATGCTTTAATTCTCAGTGAAACTTTAAACAGCTGTATCTTCGGTTCTAGAGGACTTGGAGACTTTTTATATACAGGCGATCCCCGTTATACGCGGGGGTATGGTTCCTGGAGGGTACCGCGTATAACGAAACCGCGTATAACGAAGCATTGTTTATATGGGAAATGGGGGGTGCGGTTCCAAAAATTTTTCAAATCGTAGAATATGAGATAGTCAAAAATTTATTAAGTCATTTTTTGCTATAATAATCGGTAATTTGTAACTGTTTTCTACTTCTAACACAATCTTTATAGAGTTCTTCATAAACTTGCATAGCTGAATCACAAAAATGCTTAAATTTCATGCTGCGACTCATGATAGGATCTTGGCTTATGGCTTCATCGATAGAAATTTGGAGAGATGTGATGATTGATATGATGTTACGTGCACCAAAGTCATCGGGACAGTTTTGCGCTTCTGGTGCATCAGAGCTTTCATTTTCGTTTTGTATAGAATCAACAAGCTGTTCAAGTTCATGCACTTCTAAATTTTCTTCTTCTCTTGAGACCAACTGCAAAATTTCAGTTTCAGTAGCATCTTGAAATCCTTGCCCGCCAACCTCTTTTGCAACAGCAACTATCTCTTGCGCCATTTCAGGTGGAGTTTGAACGGGCTCCATGTTGTTAACGAAATCGGGTAACAATTTAGACCATGCTGCGTTAAGAGTTGAATTTTTAACTTCGTCCCATGATTCAGAAATATATCCTATGCAATCCAAAATTGAAAATTTCTGCCAGAAATGACGAACCACGTTTTCAGAAAGAAAATTTTCAGAAGACCTTTGTTGATTTACAGCACGAAGCATGGATTTCATGACTTTTCGAAGATAATATGCTTTAAACGTTGAAATGACCGTCTGGTCCATTGGTTGGATCAGAGAAGTCGTGTTTGGCGGCAAATAAATTATATGGACATCTGGGTGTGTAAGCAATAGTGAATCACCGTGACCTCGTGCGTTATCCAGTAAAAGTAAAACTTTGAACGTTAGATTTTCCTTAATCAAAAACTCTTTTACTTCGGGAACGAATGAATTGTAAAACCATTCTCTAAAGTTAAGTTGTGTCACCCATGCCGTCTTATTAGACTTCCAAAATACGGGCAAATATTGTTTATTTTTACCTTTTAACGCACGAGGGTTTTCCGATCGATACACGAGCATAGGTTTGCACCTAAAATTTCCTGCTGCATTTGCACATAACAAGAGAGTCAAACGGTCTTTCGATTTTTTGAAGCCCGGTGCAGCTTTTTCTTCTTGCGTCAGATACGTACGACTGGGCATCTTCTTCCAGTAGAGCCCTGTTTCATCAGCGTTGAAGATTTGAGCAGGAACGAGACTTTTTTCACGAATTATTTCTTGAAGTTCAGGTGGAAAGTTTTGCGCTGCTTCGTGATCGGCGGAGGCTACCTCACCTGAGAACTTTACATTGTGTAACGAGTAACGGTCTCTGTATCTATTGAACCACCCTCTGCTCGCGTTAAAACTATCTCCCGTGGGGTGTTTTTTCTCCAGATAAACATAAAAGTCATGCGCTTGTTGTTGAATTGCTGCAGTGGACAAAGGGACGTTTTTACGGATTAAATCTTGAATCCACACTGTTAATAAATAAACGGATAAGTGCTTATTAGAACGAGACAAAAATACAAACTTTAAATACAAATATTTAAGCTCACGTATCAACATTTCTTCCATTTTTTCAAGGTTCATGTTTCGCGTAGTTTTCACTTGCTTTGCATATTGTCCTAACTGCTTAGCACTTTGTAGTATTTTTTCTTTATTCAGTCTTATAGTGCGGATGGACGATTCATTAACCTTCAATGTGCGCGCAACTTCTGCAACTTTTTTTCCTTTAGCCAACGAATCTAATACTTTTATCTTATCCGACGAAGTCATAACTTTTCTCTCCTTTTTCTTTTGTGGTGAACTTCTTCGATTCGGAGCCATTGCGCAATAATTTAGTTCAAAACGGCAAAAAGAATTTGATTAAATATAAACAAATACAATGTTTTGTTTACGTAAATAAAAACAAAACATTGCATGTTCGACGTGAATTTATCTTCAAAAAATCGCGTTATTTTGGAACAGATTTCCGCGTAAAATGGAAAAAGCCGCATTTAAAAAACCGCGTTATCGTACACCAAATTAAAGGTAATTTTGTGCTCTTTAAGTTTATATACTCAAGTTTGAGGTTTGAGTTTGCCTAGCACGTGTAACATGTAAAAATCTAAGGCGATACTCTGCTTTAGGGGACCTTTCTTGCACGTTTTTCGACACATATTAGTGTCTCTAGGGCAAACCAAGGCTCAAACCATTAAAAAAACTTACTAGGGAGTAGTTGACATGTTGAGGAAGCTTCTTAAATAGTTATAGAAAGGAAAGTCCGGATCATACTTGAGTAGATTTAGTGTTTTTTGTTTTTTTTTATTATTTCGATTGTAGAAGGCTCTAGAGTGCTCAGATCGCTTCGGAACCCATTTTTTCTAAAAATTTTGACGATTTCCAATAAAAACCTCTTGTGCACTTTTACTTTTGAGTCATTCTACACTGAGCTAGAGCTTAATGAAATATTAGCGATATTTGATAAATTACGGAAAAATGAGAAAAATGTAAACTCTGGAATTTTGAATAAGCGTGATAGAAGGCTCCAATCGCTCTATAAATGTACATTCCTGACATTTCAAACAATGTGTTCATCATATTAGATGTAGGAAAAAAATTTTGACCGGTTGAGTTGACAGAGAATCGGCCATATGTATAATGAACACCTTGTATTTACAATGTATATGGGCTATTCCACAACAGGTGTTGCAGACCCCAAAATGAAGTTAAAGTCAACCATTTACTCTTGAAGAATATAATGAAAAATGAAAATTCTGAACACCACAGCCCCCTAGGTCCAACCCTCATGGATCTACAGGGGCTCAAAGTTGGATTTTCATGTCTTGAGGATATTCTGCTTGTTACTCTGCTTTTCTAAGGTGCCTATAAAAAAATGTCTAAACCATGTTTTTTTTATATAAAATTTGATGTAAAATTTAAATCTGTACTCAAATATGACATTCATAACCTCAAAACCCTTTAAAATTGAAAAAATAGTGTAAAAGACCATCAAAGTCAAAAAATAAAGTCATTCGTATGCCTGAAATTGGCCCATATAATAAATAAAGTTCTTCTGATAAAGTTTGGAAACTGAGTCTCCATTGTAGACAATTTGGTAGCTTGCGGAGAACCAAAAGCATGAAAAATGAGAAAAAAACGAGGTATATAAATGTAAATAAAAGCTTGACAATTGTGTGTGTAGTTGTCAGGACTTTCCTTTAACAGCTCTCTACTCTGTACTGAAAGTTGTATGAGTGATGGTAAATAAAGTGTGGAGAGGGAAGGTATGCGTGTACGATTGAGTGAACGCGAGAAGAGTGTTTAGTATAAGCGAGATAAAGGCTTGAAATGTTGTTTCTCTTATAATTCCAGGTAATTTTTATATTTGAATTTGTTATTTAGATTGTAAGTTGTAAATATTGTAAATAGAACTCTTATAATTTCAGAGCAACACATTGGGTTTTTATTAAACGACTGATAACTCCATTATATATAATAAATACCTTGTATTTACAATAGATATGGGTCGGATTCAGAATTTTTCAAATAAACCTGCGGGCGAGGTTCACGGATTTTCCTGAAATTTTGGTATGTTATAGTACATGATAAAAAAATGCCAAAACCAAAATTTTGGACTCCCTCCCCCCTCCTACCCCCCTCCTCCCCTATAGACGTCCATTTTTTATCTATATTTTTTCTGAAGGCCTGAAGCTATTAAAAAATCTGCAAAAATTCATAAAGGTACTTTTCAACAATCCAAACAATCTTGAATTTTTTCAGATTTTTCGAGTGCTTCAGGCCTTCAGAAAAAATCATTGAAAATTTAAATTATTTTATTTTTGGTGAAATGGTTCGATATACCAGACCGAAGTATTTTTTTTTTGAATTCTGACGTCAAAAAACGATTCCTTGAATTTTTTCAGAATTTTTCATTCATGTCCATTCAGCCTAGAGCTGAAAAACCGCTTTTTTTCACAAAAATAATTTTTTTAATACGCTACGGAGCCTCAAAAAATCTGGAAAAATTTTTTTCTTATTTTGTTCATCAAAATACATAATCTCAAATTTTTTCAGATTTTTTAATTGAAGGCGATAGCGTCTGGAGCCGAAAAACGTTATTTTTAACAAAACAGGTTCCTAAAACCCGATGGTTCCGGTAAAAAAATTTAAAAAAAATTTTTTTGAATTTCTTGTAAAATTTTAATAAATTTTGACCATGGCAAAATTTCGATTGGAGCTTCCTAGCTCATTCTAGAGCATAACAAAGATTCGAGCGAAATTCTGAAGAAATTTGAAAAATAATGTAACTGTGATCAATATCTACTATAACATACCAAAAGCGCGTCAAGATCGGTGACATACGAGCGCAGGTTTATTTAAAAAATTCTGAGCCTTACCCATATACATTACATATATATGGGTCAGATTCAGAATTTTTCAAATAAACCTGCGGGCGAGGTTCACGGATTTTCCTGAAATTTTGGTATGTTATAGTACATGATAAAAAAGGGCCAAAACCAAAATTTTGGACCCCCTCCCCCCTCCTACCCCCCTCCTCCCCTATAGACGTCCATTTTCTATCTATATTTTTTCTGAAGGCCTGAAGCTATTAAAAAATCTGCAAAAATTCATAAAGGTACTTTTCAACAATCCAAACAATCTTGAATTTTTTCAGATTTTTTAATTGAAGGCGATAGCGTCCGGAGCCGACGAACGTTATTTTTAACAAAAAAAGGTTCCTGGAACCCGATGGTTCCACTAAAAAAATTTGAAAAAATTTTTTTCGAATTCCTTGTCAAATTTTAATAAATTTTGACCGCCACGAATTTTCGATCGGAGCTTCCTAGCTCATTCTAGAGCATAACAAAGATTCGAGCAAAATTCTGAAGAAATTTGAAAAATAATGTAATTGTGATGAACGTATCGCCTTAAAAAAATTATTTTCGTGAAAAAAAGCGGTTTTTTAGCTCTAGGCTGAATGGACATGAACGAAAAATTCTGAAAAAATTCAAGCAATCGTTTTTTGACGTCAGAATTCAGAAAAAAATACTCCGATCTGGTATATCGATCCATTTCACCGAACATAAAATAATTTAAATTTTCAATGATTTTTTCTGAAGGCCTGAAGCACTCGAAAAATCTGAAAAAATTCGAGATTGTTTGAATTGTTGAAAAGTACCTTCATGAATTTTTTCAGATTTTTTAATAGCTTCAGGCCTTCAGAAAAAATATAGATAGAAAATGGACGTCTATAGGGGAGGAGGGGGGTAGGAGGGGGGAGGGGGTCCAAAATTTTGGTTTTGGCACTTTTTTATCATGTACTATAACATACCAAAATTTCAGGAAAATCCGTGAACCTCGCCCGCAGGTTTATTTGAAAAATTCTGAATCTGACCCATATATATTGGAAGGCAACGCTCGCTTTTTGAGAGCACTCGCAGTGTGTATTGGTTAGGGCTGTGCGAGTATCCGATTTTTCGAGTTTTACTCGACTCGAACTTGAATCGCCGAGTTCGAGTTGAGTTTGAGTCGAGTCGGGAAAATTCGAGTACTCAAGTTTTTTCGAATACTCGATTTTTTTTCGGGTACTCAATTTTTTTCGAGTAATCGATTTTTTTCGAGTACTCGCAATGTGTTTAAATTTTAAGTAAATAAATTGTGAATCAACAGTCTCTAGACCCCTCTCTTTGTGTGTATATGCTTATAAGTGTGATATTTGCAGCGGCTAGAATTGGAAGTATAAAATAATTTAATAGTACAAACTTCATCACACTTATAAGCATGTACACACAATGAGAGGGGTTTAGAGATTATTGATTCATCATTCATTTACTTAAAACTTAAATATATTGCGAGTATTCAAAAAAACTCGATTACTCGACAAAAACGCGAGTCCCCAAAAAAACTCGAGTACTCAAAAAATCGAGTACTCGACTCGAATTCAAGGAAAAAACTTGAACTCGACGAGTCGAGTTTTTTCGAGTACTCGTACAGCCCTAGTATTGGTATTTCTCCTCGCTGTCTGATACACGCATGCGTTTTACGGTACTGTCCTTACTGATGCGTACTGAGAGTTGCGTTGACGCTTACAATATTTTGTATGATTATGATTGTTTTATATGACGGGGTTCGTGAAACACCTTTAGGACTGATAATTCTGATTATTAATTGGAATGAATTATACGATTGTTAACTAAATAATGCTTCTAAATACAATAATAAAATTACACCACCTTTACAGAGTATCGGTCTTGCAATATCGGATAAACACGAATGACATTATACGAAAAAGAATTACACGGTTAGCAATACCGCACTTTTACGACTTGATACGCGATATGACCGAGTTCACTTATGGAGCGTATTGATGAAATAGAAAAGGAAATACTTGCATTTGTGTAGAAATCCCGATGAATCTCTCACTTGATCACACTCAATTCACTCTAAACGGGCAGAATACGAAGACGATGCGCATGCGACAATCGAGTTCTGCATCAGAAAGGAGGATGGCGTTGATACAGGATTCACTACACTTGACCACCATTTTAGTTAATCTTAAAATTACCTTATGCCTGGGGGCTAACTTATGAGCCCGTGGCTATTCTAAGAGTTCACTTTTAGATTATTAGAACATTGTTGATTTGAAAAATAGTAGGCCGAGTGAGACCGGCTAGTGGCTTTTATAGGGGCGCGCTTCGCCCCACGTTTTCTTCCTTGCCGACAGCCGTTCAGACCCTTAGCTACCTTGCAATATATAACGGATATCGTAGGATCTTATTACTTGCGCAGTACTCGTCAATCCGACGTAGACATCTTCGAGGATGTTGCGCTTATCTCGCACACTC